ATCGGATCACCAGCAGTGATAGTGATACAAGGCTGAAAATACATTCTGTATATATATTTATTTATGATAAATAATGTATAACTCTGAATTTTTATTATTATCTTTTTTGCAGGCGACTTGTTCATGACTTAATAAATTAGACAGTATTTGTACCTGGGACAGATTTCTTCGTCTTTTTCAATCGGAATCACTTTTGGGAAACTAATAACTTCCCATACTGTAACTTCCATTTAATTTGCTACACCCCTTACACATCTTTACGATTTATAGAACTTATATTTTCATATGCAAACACATGAAACCATGACACAATTATACATTGGGCCTAAATATCAAACTTATCAATAAATATTCAGTGTGTGTCTCTTTTGAATTATTATTTCTTTAATACGACCCGATTCAAATGGAATATGTTTGCACTCGAGTAGTTTTTAAGATCGGCAAGAGGTCCGTGTCCGATGTTAGAAAAGGTTTCAGAAGAAACGACACAAAATGACAACTAGCGGTTACATGTACTGACATGCAAGCTCCAAACTTCAATTAAACTGATTGAAAGATTATGTCATATAAGCATTTAAACTGATAATACAAAAGAATGATGCCCTTTATTGGTCATTGATATGATGAATCAATGTATTCAGGATATCATCAAAAACTGCGTTAACATGCGTTTAATACAGGGAGTAAACGTGGGTTTACCGTGAACAAAATAAGGAAACGCGCTTTTGTTCATGTTAACGCGAAAATAATCGTGAAAGTAAATGCGCGATTACTTTTTGTTTCTACTAAAAATTTGAGGTTTACGCAGAATAAACGTGGCGCACGGGAATAAACGCTGCGTTAACTTTTTCCGGCCGTTTAAATATTAGCATTGGTCTGCATCCAAACTGTATTTGTTACGTTTGGAGGACGTGTTATTCAACAAAGAATCGGATTTCTCATGGGAACTAACTGTGCTCCTTTTCTTGTTGACTTGTTCATTTATTCATATGAGACTGACTTCATAAGGAGCTTCTGAGGAAGAATGAAAAAAAGCTAGCATTATCCTTTAACTTTACTTTCAGCTATGTAGAGAATGTTGTTTCTTCTCAATAAATAATTCATCTATCCCATCGAGTTTGAAATAAAGGATACAACAAATACAGCGAAGTCTGTCTGATATCTTGACTTACATCTAAAAATTGACAACGGTTGAGAATAAAACTTTACAACAAAAGAGATTTTAGCTTTCCAATTGTGAAATTTTCATTTCTATGTAGCAGCGTTCCAGTAGCACCTGGGTATGAAGTATACATCTACCAGATGAAACGATATTCCAGAGCTTACATTTTCTTGACAGAGGGTAACTGCTCAAAATGAAGCTATCAAACCAAGTTTCAAGTGGTGAATGCAAAATCATCCCTCGCAAAATATTACGGTCGCCATCACGAGTTGGTTGGCCAAAATGGAATATCTGTGTCACAAACGCCGACCTACTGCATTAGGCTTATCACCAGATTCATACTCACAAGAGCAACATGATGGGTGCCACATGGGCAGCAGGATCTGCCTACCTTCCATAGGGGCCCGCGGCGTCGCTGATTTTTGGTGGAGTTCGTCTTGCTCAGTTGTTAGTTTTCTATGCTGTCTTTTGTATACTGTTGTTTGTCTTTTTGTTGTTTATTCTTGTGTTTTTTGCCATGGCGTTGCCAATTTTTTCGACTTATGAGTTTGAATGTCCATTTGTCTTTGTAAATTATTAACCTTTACTGCTTATATAAAAGCAATAGGAAGATGTGGTATGATTGCCAATGAGACAACTCTCCACAAGAGACAAAATGACACAGAAATTACCAACTATAGGTCATCGTACGGCCAGCAACAATGAACAAAGCCAGCTACAAAAGACTCCGGAATGAAAAATGTAAAACAATTCAAACGAGAAAACTAACGGCCTGATTAATGTACAAAATAATGAACGAAAAACAAATATGATATACAGCAACAAACGAATTACACTGAATTACAGGTTCCTAACTTGGGACAGGCACATACAGAATGTGGCGGGTTAAACATGTTAGCAGGCGCCAAACTCTTCCCCTAACCTAGGACAGTGGTGTAACAGTACAACATATGAACACACTATAAAAATCAGTTGAAAATGGCTTAACTCATGAGATAGATAAAGAGCAGAAAAAACAAGTAACATAAACATAGAGTGGACGTGGCAGGGTACTTATACATCCCCACAACAAAAGACACTAAGAACAGATCTGAGAGTACTCGCAGTTACTGACAGCTAGTTCAAAGCCAATAACAACTTATAGAAAAAATCATGCATCTAAGACTAAACAATCAATCAGTGCACATCCAACATTCAATAGATTTACTGTAAAGACATCATGAACCGTCAGAGAAAAACATGACATTGTGGAATGCCAAGATACAGGTATCGACAGATTGTAGAGCCATGAATATGCATATGTATATAGAAATAATATTTAGTTTGATTTTAGTTTACTGATAACAAAATCAATTTTAATACAAATATGCCAATTAAAACAATATTCAAAGATTTGATTACAGCGTTGAATTGGTAACCTTTTAGAATAAGTTAATTTATAATATCGATATGTTTACCCGGATCGTTCTAAATGTCCTGACTCGGTAAACAACATCTCCGTAAAAATTAGGATGTGCTATCCCGGTTCAAATAAGTTTTCTACAGGTACAACCAAACTTCAAAACCAAATCTTTATATCTATGGAAGAATTTAGTTAAGGTTTTAAGTAATTTGTTAAGTCCATTTTATGGTAATATCCTTTTGGCGTGGCTCGACACTTATACATTCTACCTTTTCGTTATTGTGCTTTGGTCATTTTTTGTATTCGTGTCATTCATTTTTGCTTATGTACTTTGTCTTTATGCCATTTTGATTTTCTTTGTTGACATATTTGTTTGATTTTATAATAATTAAGATTATTATACAATCTTGACTGCTTTACCCCTATTTTTGACATTTTTTCCTATTATGTCTGTTTGTTTTGTTCACACATTGCTGTCAATTTAATGGAATTGTATGCGTCTGTCATACAAGTGAGGGGTTTATCTAGCTATAAAACCAGGTTCAATTCACCATTTTTACATAAGGAAATGCCTGTACCTCGTCAAGAATATGACAGTTGTTTTCCATTGGTTTGATGTGTTTGAGCTTTTGATTTTGCCATTTGATAAGGGACTTTCCGTTTTGAATTTTTCTTGGACTTCGGTATTTTTGTTGTTTTATATTTTTCTCCTCTCAATTATGAGAACTGAAAGGGATATTTGTATTATTACCATGAACGTTTGTTAGGTGTAGTGTTATTAATGTATAATCAACACTAAATATTAAAACTAGAACCTAAACTCAAATATTACACCTTTTTTCTTCATAGGATTCATCTTAATAACTAATTGCAGATTTTGTCATTCAAAAGAAATAAGAGGACGTGGTATGAGTGTCAATGAGACAACTCTTCATCCAAGTCACAATATGTAAAAAGTAAACAATTATAGGTCAAAGTATGGCCTTCAACACGGAGCCTTGGCTTACACCAAACAGCAAGCTATAAAGGACCCCAAAATGACTAGTGTAAAACAATTCAAACAGGAAAACCAACGGTCTAATCTATATAAACACGAGAAACGAGAAACACTTAAGAACCACATCAACAAACGACAACCACTGAAACAGGTTCCTGACTTAGGACAGGTGCAAACAAATGCAGCGGGTTTAAATTTTTAACAGGCGCCAACCTTCACCCTTAGCTGAATTAGTAGTGTAACATTACAACATAGAAAGACACATTATAAAATATTAATTGAAATGGCTTAACTCAATCAAAAAGACATATTAACAAAAACAAGTAAACATACACTGAACGACTAAATTTGGTTTATGACACAATGTCAAAAAGGCTATAACCTTGGACAAAACGGCGTTAAAAAAAATAACGTATACAGGTAAATTTCAATATAACAATTTTGTTGTTAGGAGTACGGAGATATTTTTTACAAAATAAATAAATTTGTTGTTCATAGTAAGGTTATATTTAACAATTTTTAATGAGATAATTGTTTTAAACATGCACGTGCCTCGTCAATTCTCTTTTTGGTTTTTATTTACTCTTGAAAAAAAAACCCAATACCTCCTGCCTTTTTTGTATCTTTGACAGTAGTGACGTGGTAAAATACATTGGTTTTAACATTAGATAATTATGCTTACAAATTTGTAAATAAGCGTACTGTATTTGTAAAGCACTGTGATGGCAGTCATAATATCATATTTGTTTTTCGAAAATTGTTTTGTTATAAATTAGGCCGTTAGTTTTCTCAATTGAATTTTTTCATATTTTCATGTCGGGTCCTTTTATAGACAACCATACGGTATGGGTTTTTTTCTCGTTGTTGAAGGCCGTACGGTTGCCTATAATTGCTTACATCCACTTCATTTCAACTTTGGTAAATAGTTGTCTCATTGGGAATCATACCACCTTATTTTTATATAAGTCTTGAAGACCGTGATATAAGATAAATGTATTCGATTTCATTTTTTATTTGTACATCTAACATGTGTAACACATCGCATGTTTGTGTATATGCGTGTGTGAATGTGTATGTTTCAGACATGCAATGTTATCAATTACTCCATAGCAATTTGTTTCCTGTATAACACGGATATTCCAATCGTCGATTCCCTTTTTTTATGATATTTTAAATATTTTTGAAAAATTTTGTTTTGTATTGTAGACAACCAATATCTATCAAATCGTCCTTTAGTTTATTTTAAAAAAAATGGTACCAAAGTGTATTCCAAAATCGTCCATAAAATGTTATAGAAAATATATTTTATATGTGATTTTGCTGCTGTTACACGCCTGTAAATGGCATATTGCTATGACAAACACATAGAACTGATAGTACCAGAATTTCAAGAATGATCTGTGCGAGTGATGGTTTTTTGATAAATACAGAAACAACAGCAATTATGATAAAAATGTATTCAATATTTCCACAGCCCAATATTGTGTAGTTGTATCAGTGTTCATCATCTGGAAAGGTTCTCCTGTTTTGATTCGTCTTGTATATCCACTGATATTTATTGTTAAGTACACAGCGGTGAATTTAACCGTACCACCATTGGATATAAGAGAACCAGTGTCGTATTCAACCTTAGAAAATACATTTCAATTCGTCACTAGCCTTCAAATACTAAGGTAAGTCTCATTTTAAAGTTTTCTTTACAACCTTTTATATACAACATTTGAACATATACAGTATACCTTAAATGTGACTTACAGATAAACATGACAAATTTATGCTGTGATTTAGCACATATTAGCATTATTCATTATGCATGATTTATTAGTATCAAGACAACAAGAAACATCGTCAGAGGTTTTTTTTCAAATTTTTGTATTGTTTGTTTGTTTTGTTGTAAACTGTGTTTAATAGAAAAACAACGGACATCGAGTTTCCATCTATGAAACAAGATCAGTACATGCACGGGGGAAAAACACACAAAAAGCAAGGGAAGCGCGTTTCTCTTGCGGTTCTTCATCTCAAAATCACAGTGAGACCTTCAACACGTAGAAGAAAAAACTCCCATCTCAATGCAAGATTAAGACGACCCCTAGCACCTTTTGAGCAATTTTTTTCCAAACTGAAATCATTCGGGTAGTCTTTGTAGGATGTAACATTTGTTCTTTAAATATTGCGTTATTATGACCCGACTTAGAATTTGTTATACTGTATAGACTGATTACTATTTTGGAAGATCAGTTTATTCTCTGAATAACCCGTCTTTCCATTCCATGGTACTTGTGTTTATAGATTGTTGTCTCATTGTTATATCCTTCACCACAATTTATTCATACTTAACTACGTCCACAGTGTTAAATGTGAACGAAAGATTTAAGATATGCAAAGCGTTGGTGGGTATATACATAATGCTCGTTTAGCTTAAATGTAAGAAAGTTGAACCATCATGGCGTTTATGGAACTTTGCGAAAAAATTTGTTATAACCACGTCACAACAGTAGCACATATATAAATTCTTAATAATGTTCAAGTAGATATGGTATTGCGTGATGCTATATCGATTCATTAATGTTGTCAGATCATCTTTTGATAAGTACAGTCCTACCTTTTTGACAATTCCTCTCGTTTTGATAGCAGAGCTAAGTTGTTCAAATTTTGGAACAAGTGCTTCTAATTCTTTAATTTGAATCAGGTAGGCACTACCACAAACTAGAATTAAAATTAACATTCACATATGTGTACATACGTATAGGCATAAGAATATAATACTTTGTCTTTACTCTGTCTTTAGAATGAAGAATACATTTTCGGAAACGTTTTGTATTTTGAAATTTGGATAAGAACGGACAGTCTTATATTCGGAAAGTTGATATTACTTTTCTATAGACTACAAAAGTTCTTAAGAGACACCGTTTTTTTAACAATCGATTATCTCTGAAATATTCAGATTTTGCTGTTATTGTCTGTGTTTACACTACGGAAAAATTGAAATGTGTGTTACAAATCTGGAGCTTAACAAACAAGTGACATAAAAGGGTCTGTCTGTTATTCTTTACACAATTCGTACTCGGTACATTTGAGATAAAGACAATATACATGTGAAATATATTTAGAATCAGATCAAGATCAATAACTATTTATTTCTCTTATGAAAACTGATTACCTTCCATCATTACTGACATTATAGATAAAAGATGTAATGCAATATATACTGATAGCGGCTATGTCCTGATTATTAGACAGAAAACTGGTATTCTGAATTAACAAATTGTGTAACGGAACTTTCGAATTTATACCTTTACCTATATGAATCAATAATTATCTTACAACAATGATATGAAAATAGATTACTCGTCAAGTAATTTAATAGCATTTGTTTCTACCTCTAATATATGAGTAAGTATAAAATTGAAACGACAAGGACGACCTCATACATGTATAACATTTTTAATAATGTTAGTATTATGGCATGTATGTTTTATTGGATTTAATTGTTCGATATAGAAATACATAATTATGTGTATGAAACATCTAACCATTGCTTTCCACTATGTGTGTGTCGTTACTGTAAACTTTATCGCACCAGGCAGAACATTTAGTATCACAAACACTCCTTTTTCCAAATACATCTGCTCCATGAAACAATGATAACAATAATTATGATTTTTATAATAACACTTATAAATATAGAAGAAGAAGAAGAAGAACAGGAAATACAATTTATCTTTTAAATTACATTTTTTTTTGTACTGGCATATATAACAGTGTATAAGTGACCTAAATATGCTGACAATTGATAAAAACAGCTTCTCACAAAAAATCAGTAACAAATACATTTTAATAAATTCCTGCAATACAACATTAACTCTGTATACTATAATCAATCGAAAATAGTTAATCATGTAAGATTGTGTTGTTTTCAAAACGAACTAGTAAAGCAAACATTGCATACCATTTGTTCAAAAAATGTACGGGAAATATTTGGTATAATATACACAGCTATTTGTGATACAATTTGAAAAAAAAATAATAATTCTAAACTCCAAGGCAAATTCAAAAAGGGGAAGTCCATAAAAACTGACAAAATCAAACGCTATCAGTCAACGGAACAAGTGAAAAACAACTGCCATATTTCTGACTTGGTATAGGCATATTCCGAAGAAAATTAAACGTGGGTGAAAGATACTGGATTCGTTGCATAGCAATACAGTGATTTCTTCTACATACTTAATAGTTTCTCTTTTTACTATTTGGTTAATATTGCAAAGTTTATACCATTCTAACAATAAGAAATAATTTAATTTTGGATGTAACTCGTCTTTTGTTTGGCTGAACGTTTTTTGTATATCAACTTATAGACATAATTTTGTCATGTGACCGTGACGCCATCAACGTTTTTTCATGATTTACTCCTTAAAAATGAAATTTAGAATTAAATAATAAGGAACGACTGTAATATTTTTTCTGTCTATTCAAAATAACCTAAAAAATGTGGTACACACTGTTAAGTAACCCACTACACGGGTTATTCATTGTGCACCATAATTTTGATGTTATTTCTTCATAAACAGAAAAATTTTACAGTCATTCCTTAAATAATATTCAAATATAACACACAATACAAATGGTGACTAACATTTAGCAAATGAAATGCCTAAGAATACCTTCACATTTAAAATTCATTAATTTTTAAAGAAGCCCCAATTTGCTGCTTTACGAACTATCGTTTAAAATGTAAAACTTGTTGTTGTTTTTTTTGCTCAAGGAATATCATTGAGCGATATTACTGTATTTTATCTTATTTGCAAAATTTTACGATAACTACTCACGGTGGAAAACATGTCCGATATGGTGAATACCATGGGATATTTCATCTACTACATGTTCGACACCATGTCCTAAATCCTTTACAACATCTACAGCTCCATGTACAAAGTGGCCAACAGGGTCGTGTACAAGATCATGCAGTACATTGTCTAATACCTTTGTCAAACTTGATCCACTATTCTGAATACTTGTAATAGTATAGATAAGAAATCACATCAGTAAACAGTACATGGAAATTTCCGTTTAAGAAGAAAATCGAATTTCATTTATTAATTTATGTTCTGGTTAGATATATTCAAAAATGGAAATGTTTTTAAAATATTAGTACTAGTACATCTATATATATATAGGATAAAATAAAATTCTTACTTATGAGAAGGAATAGTCACATGTTCTCCACACTCATGCATGCAAGAGATACATTGGTCTATGGTATTGTTCACTTTTACAATACATTGAGTTTGTAAATTATGGTGGTGCTTTATGGCTACTTTAACTCTTGCTTGGGTAAGAATATCTAGATGTTTGCAGACAAATGAGTCAATAACTAAAAGAAATATGATTGACAATTATTTTCAAAATCTGAAATAAACGTGTATCGTTTCGTTTTCAGACTTTCAGCACGCTTTAAAAATTACCATGCTCGCAGTTCATTTTATGATTCATAAAGATAAATTATGCTCTCTGTCACTTTTTTTCATTAAACGATTAAACGGATTTACGACTCTTCATTTCGTACTGTATTTGGCTTTTAAAAAAAAATTTAATCAAGCGTCACTGGTGAGTCTTTTTGTAGACGAAACGCGTGTCTGGTGTACACAGTTTTAATCCTGGTATCTATGATGAGTATATTTACATATATTTTCATCGATCAAAGAATTCCTTAAAAATTAACATTATCATAAGCACCACCATCTATATTGTAAAAGGAAAATCTTAAGTGAAATTTTTATTCTTACCCTGAAGGTTTGTTTGATCTAGAGTCGTTAACGCAGCATCAATACTTAAAATTGAAAAAAGTAAACAAGAAACGAAGGCAGTTACTCTGTTCATGTGATTCATTGTTAATAATCCATTTCAGATTCGGTCATTCTAGTTTATATAGTTTATTTCATAATCTCGTTATCAGTGCGAATTGTCAATCATTTACTGTTCCTATTTACACTTGAAGAAAAACACCACCTGACTTTTTCTCAACATTTACGTTTGTGACGTGGTAAAGTACAACGTCCTAACATACGATTCTTAATTTTGTTCTTAATAACCTATAAGGGAATAAGTAAACACTTTGTTTAATTCTGTTATATAGTTTTAATGGATATTGAATAAATAAAGAAATTACAAAATATACTTGGAACAAGAAATAAAAACAGGTAGAATGTGTTGTTTTACTCAGCACTTTTACCGTTTCGAGCCGAGTACAAATAAAATGTATACTAGGAGAATGTGTATGGTTGTTCCTTTATGCTGCAATTTTAGAACGATTTCAAACAGTTTGATATAAAACCAACCATTTTGAATTTGGTGCGCACGACGTGAAAAAAAAATTAAAGTAAAACTTTATAAATGCTATTTTAACATTGCCATGTATGCGGAAGGTTTGGCTAGCCACCATGTTTTCTTTAAATGTCCTGTACCAAGTCAGGATATTTGTTATCAGATAGTCCGTTTCTATGTATGTTAGCATTTGTTTTTGTTGCAGTTCAGTGTTTCTGTTGCTCCGTTGTTTTCCTCTTGTAGTTAATGTGTTTCTCTCGGTTTTGGTTTGTGACCCGGATTTGTTTTCGCTTAATCGATTTATGACTATTGAGCAGCGGTATACTACTGTTGCCTTTATTTTTCTTTGTTATTTTGTTTCACGTTTTTTTAGACTTGGGCCCTTTTAAGCTGACGTTATGGCATGGGTTATGGTAGTTGTTGAAATATTACGATGACGTGTAATTATTCACATATTTGTTCTTAAATCTTATATTGATAGTTGCGTCATTGGCAATACTAACAGATCACGTTATTTTCATATTAAAGTAATGGTTTGTTCAGTTTGTTCTACATGTTCTATGATCTGTTATATTGTGACCTCAAGTCGCTACAAAACATGAACAATGTTTAAGGTGTTGTTCGTTCGATAGGAAATTTTAGAAAGCGATAACATCCTGGTGTGTCTTTCATTATTGTGTAATCATATCTGTGCGTCCATTCAGGGCCGAGACAGCCTTACGTAGGTAGTAATGATAAGCGTGATTAGGAAGTACTTAGACAATAGATATCCACTACTATATAAGCAAGATGATAATAATTCATTGAACAGAAGAAATTTTATTTGAAAAAGAAGTTGAAATGGGACTACTGATTTTAAATGTATTTGTAGTATTAACTACAGTACATTTAAGTACAATGTTTAATTTGAGAACACCAGTGATTACATTAGATGACACCAATACAAAACGTGAGTTTCAAATTGATTTACTTGATTTAAAAAAGCTTGTCCAGAAAAAAGCAAAACATATATATTATATTAGTTTATAGTTTAGTTATATTAGAACACATATACATGACTGAGTAGGCAATCATTTAAGATTCTTCTTGTACATACAATTGTTCAAAATACAAAAAATGCCAGCAAATAGTCCATTTGACAATTACCGATTTTGTTTATAATTCTTATGACTTGTTCAATGGAAATAACATCGCGGTAGGACAAACTGTGCTCTTGCCTACACAAAGCAGGGAGTACAAGTTTGATGATTTTTTTTCCGGATTTGACAATGCATTTGAATTTGTAAGTAAAAATGTATGAACAAAATGGGATTGCGGTGTAAGTTATTATCACTGGGAAATGAATTGTAGTCTTAAACGGTCATTTTGATCTTAGCATTATAGACTGAGCAGATATTAATTGACTACAAACAAATTGTCTGAACAATTGTCCGCAGTGGATCAGTTTGAAAATTGACTGAAAGACTAAAAGAGGGACGAAAGATACCAGAGGGACAGTCAAACATGACTTAATAATCTTTAGTTCAGATTTTTAAGACCTTTTACTAGTGTACGCAATGAAAAATACAAAAATGCGTACGTACATAATAACCACCAACACATACCCTATCCAAGAGTTATACATAAGCCGGGATACAGTTTGTCTTACCTTAGGGCTTTTTCCTTTGTCGTACATTTTGAAATAAGAAGCAAAGTAAGTCGGTAAACTTACTATTAAATAGAGAAATTAAAATTGTATCAATTCTACTTTTGGATAATTGGTGAAACACAGTGGTAACCAGCATACTCTGAAACAGTGGTGATGTCATCTATGCTATTAGACGCTTACGGTATTAATTATACAAAGCGGCGCCAACAGAGTTTTGGTGTTTTGGTGTTTAGAACTTTTAACTAAGAGCAGATAAGCTATCTGCTTGTAGCATTAGGATGAAACGGAGATTGCTTTAGAAAAATTCACGATTTTAAGTCGTTATGAGGTAATTGTATAATAAGTTACCCCTGCAAGAGTAAGCAATAACACGTCAGTTCATATTAGTCAATTTTGAAATATGTTGTTCCTGAATAAATAATGACACATGTATTTCTATTGTACCATTAGTTTTGGATTCATTTCTGCGTATACACATTGAATCACTAACACTACAACTCATCAATCGAACAATTCTGGAGAAAGAGCAGTTGGAACACAATTGTATCCAACAAGTGAACAACACTATAGATATTTGCATAACGTGTATGCATACTTGTGATTCAGCACAACCGCCACCAGTACATTATATTCAAAGGTTATTGATTTGTTAATTTTAATTTTAATTTTTATACAATTATATGTTCATACTGCAATTATAGGTATTTGACTTACTAGTTTACTTGTATTATATTCCATTTTATAAAAAAAAGTGTTTGAGATAGGTTTCATGCAGAGGAAAATTACGGTTTTCAGAATGTTCGAACGTAGATTAAACAAATAATATATTGGGTATAAGACAATGCTGAACATTTTACCGACCTAAATAATAAAGTATATTTACATGTATTAATTGCAGAAAGCATTAGTAAACTTTTACAGAGTTTCAGTATAATTACTTTAAAACATTAGAAGCCTTTTCTGCATCAATCATTGGCTTAGATCAGAAATACGTATTAACATTTGACATAAAAATAACTTACAGTGAGGCTCACTCATCTGGGAATGAACTAAAGGTGATACTGAAGGGAATCATAAAAGATCCTCTAGGAACTGCAATCGACTTAGTATTTGATCTTGGAGTTGGTAAAATTACTGATGCCGTGCAACATGGCGTTGAGCATGTCGTACATGAGCTTGGACATGGGGCTGAACATTTAGGTAAAGAGTTGGTTCATGGGGTTCAACATGTCGGCGAGGAGTTGGGGAAAGGAGTTGAGCATTTGGCACATGAGCTATCACACGGTGCGGAACATGTTGCACATGAAATAGGACATGGAGTACAACATCTCGGCCATGAACTTGATCATCTGGGTCATGGAGTTGAAAGTGTTATACATGATTTAGGTCACGGTGTGGAACATATTGGTCATGAAATTGAACATGGTGTTCATCATATCGGTCATGAAATCTCGCGTAAGTTATGAGAACTATTTATTCAGAAAATATATAATTATGTGTTTGTAAATGGAAAAAAATACCTATATACAACTGTAGTATCAAATACATTAAAACTTCAAACTGAAACTGCATTATTTGTATGCAGCATTTCATGCTGTGTACTTGGATATCATATGTATAAATAAGAAGATGTCGTATGAGTGCCAATGAGAAAACTCTATATTTCACTACAATTTTCACAAAACAAAATATTTTTTTTTCTATTTCGATAAGTTCATTTTATTATTATTCCATATGAAATGTTGCATGTACACTCGTTTTATGTCAGTTTTTTTTTGTATTACTATGATATGAAATTCCGTCATTTCGTATCTTTATATGAATTCGGCATGTCGGCGGAGACTTTTCGAAAAAGAAACGTTTAACTGCACCAAATATCCAGTTAGCTTGATTTTAAACAATCAAAGTCTGTCTAAATACATCGGATCATGCTGATTTTATGTTTTAACCGTTTGATTCGGTTATTTTATGTATTTTTTTTGAAAGAAATTAAAAAAAAAATGTGTCTTTATAAGCTTATCATTACTCACATACAGTGTATTATGCAAATACAATGCTTTAGTTACTGTATTTTCCAATGTTTTCATTGTGACGAAAATAATGCCAAATTGTTCCTTTTTGCTTTTTTAAAGCCCCAGTTTTTAATATATGTATGTTGTGTTAGACTTTTGATATTGTTTAGTTGTCTGTCCTCATATCTAAGTTCATTTGTACATTACGACCACACTGAAACCTGAGTTTTTATACATAGATTGTAATAGTTATATAAATATAGAAGTAAAACAGATCTTTGATTAGTTTGAAGAGTGTTTTTCCATTATTTTTGTTTTGTTGTTGATAGGAAACTCCAATAATTGGTTGAAATAGAACATTCAACTCATGTTAATCTTTTTACTTCATCAACAGATATATTAGGAAAAAGACAAAGTTGTGGTGACAGATGTCCTGCATGTAATAATGTAAAAAGTAAAAATCTAAATGCAATCAAATCTAAAGGTATGTAAGTTATTACTAGTCCAGTAGGTCAGTACTTCTGTAATGGCATGGCAATACAGATATTGTTTCAAAGAAGTTTTTCTGTTATAAATTTTACAAAAATCCTTTAAAATTTGGAAAAGTATCTCCATTATACATGTTTTACATTACTCTGATCTATTCGTAGTCCGGGTTTGACTAGTCATGTTTAGCTATACAGTTTCTAAATAGTTTTGACTTTTTTAAATTTTGATCTCGAGCATCCATGAAGAGACATTACTTGTCGAAATGCACACCGTGTGGAGCATGTGAAGTACAATTCCTCCTTGGATAACATTATTTGACCGTTTGCCATTTGATGCTTCTGTATGTTTTGAATGAAATAAACGTTTGTCGGTTGACATCCCCTGCATATTAAGATTTAATTTCCGGTAATCCCCTTTGATTTCACCTGTATACTCAGATGTGATGTCTTGTGATACCCCTATTTGAAATCCCCTGTGTACTTAGATGTAAATCCTGGTACATCCCCAAAATGTAGATCACGCAAACAGATAAAACAAGGAGGAATTTACTGCAAAAATAATTTAAAAGAAGAGAATGATTTCAGATGTTTAAAGATATGATGTTTTTCCTTGACGTGTAGCTGTCAGATTCTCAGAATTTAGTCAGTTCTTTATGAACTTCTCCTTCTTTGAATTTGCCATGGAGTTCACTATTTTTGTTATACTTTTTTATACACAATGTATGTATTTTTTAATATAAAAAAGGGACAATTATCTATCTGTTTGACGTTAGTACTTAAAGGGTGTGTTTTGTGCTATATATTCAAATTCACTAATTCAATTAAAAGTGACTGGCAATAACAAATTTTATCAGTCATATTATCCATGCTATCAATATTTTCACTTTTATGATAATCATTCTACAAACAGTTTGCGGAAGTTCATATGTAAACAGGATATCAACTTTAGATGCACTAGAACCAAAAATTAGAATAGTTGCTGCAGCATTAAAGAACAGAATTATCCAAAAAGTAAGTCTCCTTTACATTTTAATGCAACTTTTATTGTAAAGTTCCTTTGAATAGATAACGTTACCTATTTCAGTCTGAAATTGTTCACACAAGCGCAGACTTCGTGTACATGTTTTGAAAATGTCTAATATTACGATGATTGCGTTTAATGTCAAGACCTTTTATAGCCGAATATACGGTATGGGGTTTTCTCATCGTTGAAGGCCGTACGGTTGCCTATAGTTTCTCACATCCACTTCCTTTGAACTTTGGTGGATAGATGTCTCATTGGCCATTATACCAAATATCTTTATTTTGATATTATACATACATTATATATATTAACGAGGCAGTAAGCGATTGGCATACGACATATGCATTAAACATTTTAAAATACATAGTGACTTTTGTGAATTTGTTGTGTACATTAATTATTAAAGTATAGTCCTCAACATATTTAACTGATAAACTGGTTGTTCGAATATAGTTCAATTAATCATTGCCTTAATTATCAAATTTAATTTGACAATCTATCTTGTATGATATTGAATATATTGTCCTATTATCTTTTTTTTTGTAGGTCGAGTATGACCCAACATCGCTTGATCCTGCTACAGTTCAATTCAGGAATGTCTACGTAACAGCATTCATGAAAGGTTCCTTAACTCGCTTCAAAACAAAAGCACCATACCAGATGATGCACATGGAAGATACAGCTTCACACTGGGCATCGGAAGCATTGACTATGTTTATTGATTAAAATAATATTATATGAATAAAAGAATCAATTACAATTATTTCACATTATCTAAGTACTCAACATACTAAATTTTAATATAATATTTACATATAGTACTTATTTAAATAAACCGCACACAGGTATATATATATATTATATAAATGGAATAATGATCAACTCTAACAACGAAAACTGCTTGCTCTTCCTGTTGATGCGGCGCGGCAATCAATATTTATATCAATAACTACAATATTCAAAGATCTAATTACAGTGTTGAATTGGTTATCTTTAATAACAATAAGTTTATTTAAAGGATCGATAAGAATACGCGGAGCGTGTCTTAAATTCAGGTCTCGGTAAACAACATCTCCGTGAACATAAAGGATGCGCTAACCAATTTAAACTAAGTATTTCACAGGTACAGCCAAACTTCTAAAACGATTTTAAGTAATTTCTGGTAACGAAATCCTTGACTTGATTATATCACGAGCACCCGAGATCACCCCAAGTTTTTAATGGGGTTCGTATTGCTCAGTCTTTAGTTTTCAATGTAGTGTTTGTGTAATATTGTTTGTCTGTTTGTCTTTTTCTTTTTTAGCCATGGCGTTGTCAGTTAAATTTCGACTTATGAGTTTGATTGTGCCTTTGGTATCTTTCCCCTCTCTGCTACTAGTAATACACAGATTGCGTTCATTGAAATCCAATACGTCACCACAGACATGAGCAAAGCGAAAGAGTTGTGATACATGAACACCTTCAGATTATTTTATCCAGAAACTTTCCTGAACCTCTCGTTGCATCTTTTTAGTGAATATTTTGATCAATCACTAAAACTTTTCGAAGATTGGAAAAGAACCATTCTTATCTTAACAAAATTTTCCCGTTCTATGTATGTAAAAAAGAAACTGAGACATATAGAGAACAAATGGAAAAGTATTTTATAAAGATATTCAGACCAAAACTGAACAGATTAGAACGTTTTTTTTTTCCAAAAAACCGGAATCACCTGAACAATTAGATTGATTAAACAGTGTAACAATACGATGACGTAACGTCATTGAAACACTTAACAATGTCCTAATAAGTCTTGTGAAGGATGAAAGCGCTAGACTTTTAACATTTCTGATCATTTTGATGTTTATTTTATTTCAAATATATAATTCTGTGCATTACTGAAGAAAAACTTTTTTATTTATATAATTATATATATATATATATACAAGTCTAAATTGAAAACAACGTTCAAACCTATGATTGCGTTGGATAAAAACCGCATTTTTTATGCGTGTGCATGCAAAACAAATTTCTTGGTAAAGGGGTCAAAATACAGCACAAACAACATTTTCCAAAAGACTAAATGAGTGAAAAAGTATATTCTAACAAAACGCATTTGACTAGCAGGTCGAACAACTGATGTTCTTAAACCCTGCTGACTGCCATTGGCGATAGCCCAATAAACGGATCACAAGATGTAACAAAATAGATCTTATTATAAATGTATTACCAAACAGAATATTGTTGTAATTTTTTTTAATTTATCTTAATTGCACTTACCCAATACTTATTGATTAAATGTATTTTTTACCAAACATTGAAAAAAAATAAAGTTTATAATTTTTTTAATGGGTTGTGTAAATAATTCAAATAAGTTCAGAAGACAAAGGCTTAACAGGTGCCGCAGCGTCTAGAACAATGATCTGTGGTAAATTGCCATGAATTCAGACATACATGTCTCATTTGTAGTAGACTGGGATGTCGTCAACACCTCACATTTTTTTTTATATGAAAAACATTATTATTACTATAGGTAGCTTAAAACAAACTTGCCATTGTCTTATTGGCAACTGTGTGTAAAACAGTACGAATTCCATATTCATACCCGACATTGGTAGAAACAAATATTTTAATTTAGACTTTCGATTGTATGTCAATTAGGAAAATGAGATCTAATTTTATAATTAATACAAAAAAAGGAAGAAATTTGATATAATAGACATGATAGAAAGGCAAACTGTGCTTGATTATCGGATATCAAACTTGTTTAAAATAATACTGCTCGTACTTTTATAGCTACGTCGATCGGATGGTGATTTAGTTCCCCGTATATTATAGAATTTGGTGTAGAGGATTTCAGATTTGTAAGTAATTTATAGAATTTTTATTGTATCGTTCTTAATTTATCATTATTACTAAAACTCCATACGTCGCATTTAAACAACAGATAAGGCTTTAAAAAACAATGGTAGACATCAATTTATATTCAAACTGGGTCAAATGCAAATTAGTAAATTACATAATATTTATAACGAGTGTGATACAATATCGTTTTTCAGCCCAAAATATGAGTGTAGAAGTATTATTAAGGCTTTTTGTCACCATAGACTGTTCCCTCAAATTGACAAACCTGATGATAATAAAAAGTATTTCATAAAAATAAAATACGGAGTTCAGTATTTTTGTGATTTTACTTTATACATTGGTAGAAAAAAGTAGAATAACAAAAATACCGAACTCCAAGGAAAATTCAAAACGGAAAGTCCCTTATCAAATGGAAAAATCAAAGGCTCAAACACATCAAACGAATGGAAACAACTGTCATATTCCTGACTTCGTACAGGCATTTCCTTATGTAGAAAATGGTGGATTAAACCTGGTTTTATAGCTAGAGGTATTTATTTTATTTATGTGTCTAGTACTTTTCATGACTCTACCGTTCAAAACTTTATACCTCCATATTTTGATAACATAGGTCAACCTATATTTTCTTATCCGTATACAGAACCAAGTAGAAGTTTAATTTTTAATTATACGTCAGTTACATAAGACATGTAAGATGTCAATATAGAAAATAATGCTCCTTCGACATTAGACTGTGAAATCGAAGTTAAAATATGATCCCTATGGCCATGTAATTACAGGGGACCTCAACATCGTTCAAGACCGAGAGGTTATAACATTTCTGAAAAAAGAACCCACATATCGTCTACCGTCGAAAATAAATTGGGAAGAGTGTCGTCAGGTTATTAAAGATGCTCTTTCATCCTTTTGTAAAAAATAGTGTAAACGGGAGAAATCTGACAAAAAGTCAATTGATTTCTATTTAAATAAATGCCTTAATATGGTTAATATTCGCATATCACATTTCGAAAATAGTTTAGAAATAAACAAAAGAATAACATGAATAAGTAATACGCCCATTTCTAGGATTAAAAACAAAATTCAAGTACTTGCAAAGCGTTTTTTGTCCGTTGCGGCCGACAAAGCAGCCAACAATGTGATGGTGGTATGACGTAAATACTATACGAAAGTCCTTAAGAATAAAATAATACATTCAACTTCATTCAAGGCCGCTTTTCCACTCTTTATACTACACTTCCACACAATCTTATCAAATAAAAGTTGTCCTATTTATTTAAATGGGCGTTTGATAAATCTGATTGCAAATTTATTTACTCTGACTCATATAAAGCATTTTTCTCAAATGAGAAAGGTAAAATATTCTAGATATACTTACTGGAGGTGTGATGAGATGATTAAATTATTATTAAACATTTATGTACGTTTCGGCAATAAAGTTTATCGACAGATTGGAGGTACCCCTATGAGCACCAATTGTGCCCCTTTAATAGAAGACTTGCTCCTGTACTGTTATGAATCACAGGTCATGGCCAAACTCGGTAAAGGCCCGTCTAAATTCCATATAATTGACAATTTCAACAACACTTATTGTTATCTTGATGATAATTTTTCGTTAAATAATAAAAAATTCTCTAAATATACTGCCGAAATTAAAACAAAGGAGCTTTCCTTAAATAAGCGTGCTTTACTACATTTAGACATTACAGTTTTACACCAGAAACTCTACACAAAGATTTACGGCAAAAGGGAAGATTTTTCTTTCCCTATTGTTAATTTTCCTTTTTCGGACAGTGATGTTCCTTTGGCGCCGTCTTACGGTGTTTATATATCCCAACTCGTTCGCTATGCCCGTGTCTGTAGTGACGTTTTAGATTTCAATCAGTGTAATATATGTATTACCAGTAAATTATTAACTCAGGGATTTACTAAATTTTTCCATAGATAAAAAAGAATTTAGATACGATCCGGGTAAACTTATAAATCCTTCAAATAAACTTTTTCTAAAAAGTTATCATTTAAAAACTGTAATTAAATCTTTGAATATTGTTTTTATTGGTATAAATATTGATTTTGTTATCAGTAAGTTAAAACCTTACTAAATATTATTATATATATTATACACATATGTAATTTCATGGTACTACAATATGTCGATACCTATATGTTATCATTTTTTTATTAGTTGTTATTGGCTCTGAACTAGCTGTCAGTAACTGTGAGTACTCTCAGATCTTCGCATAGTGTCTTTTTGTTGTTAGGGATGAGGGATGGATAAATAACCCGCCATGTCCGATCTGTGATTTTGTTTGATGTTGTTCTGCTTTGTATCGATCTGATGAGTAATGCCTTTTCAACTGATTTTTATAGTTTGTTCTAATGTTGTACTGTTACACCACTGTCCCAGGTTAGGCGTGGGTTGAGCGCTCACACACATGTTAAATATCGCCACATTTTTTATGTGCCTGTCATAAGTTAGGAGCCTGCAGTTCAGTGGTTAGCGTTGGTTCATGTCTGTCATATTTGTTTATCGTGAATTGTTTTGTTATGCATAAGGCTGGAGGTGGAGGAGGCCGAAGTATTCGGTGAGAACCACCGGGGAACTCGGCAGGAACAGACAAACCGAAGAGAAATCTGAAGATTGATCTTCTGGTCAAAGTCGGGGCCACTTCGACCAACCGAGGCTCCCAAAGTACCCATTCTAGTTTAAACTCCAGTTTGGGTACCAGAGATGTGTGTGGCAGGGTGAAAATCACCATTCTAATGTACTGAAATTTCCAGCGCCCCGGGTCAGGATTGAACCCGGGACCTTTAGCACTGTAGCCATCGGTCTAAACCACTAGTCCACCAACCCACACGATCTTTCACACAAGTACACTAACCTATGTATCATATAAATGGTAAGCATTGTGTTCTACGTTG